TGTTTGAAACTTCCGCCACCGCCTTGTGCGGTACTACTGGTACTAAGTTTAAACTAACCTAGAGGATAACAGGTTGTTTTCAACCACGTGTGTCGGGAACCTGTAGATGGCGCAAAACATCCCATCCCCCAAGTGGTCTATAAATGGCGCATTTCAAAAATTAGCGCCATCCATTTTTCCCCCGGAGTAAATAGCTCTTCAGGCTAAGCGATATCCGCTGGTAATTTAACAGTTTGCTAAAGAAAATCACCGTTTTCAACATGTAAATCCTCTAACTAAACGGGCCATGGCTTCCATAGCAAACTACCAGAGGGTTCCATACGGTTCCTAATGTTCCTATATCCCATCGGAAGAAATACCCAGGACGGGGCCCTAGTCTCTGACGCCTGGGGGGGGGCGTGGCGCAACGGAAAGGTCCGGCTGTCTTCTTCGTCCGCTTCTTGCGGTCGAGTCTGCTGAAAAATTCGCTGATTTTTGGGGTCCAGACAACGAGTCTGGAACCACGTGAGGGAAGTGTAAAACCACCCCGACGAATATGGTCTGATTCACCCATTCACCTGCCCTAAAGTTCTTATTTTGAAGAAATGATGATGATGAACCAATGGAAAAAAGGCAGAGGTACCCAAAATTTCCTACAGTAGTACCATGTGATATGAACTGGCTTTACCAAAATTTTATGGCATGGTAATGATGAGGATTCTTGAACTGGGGATATTGGGGATGTAAGTTCTGAGGGTTTTGCCTATGGTCATGGGAAATCGAACGGCAAACACCTGCCCAGAACTTATTGAAACCCTTGATGTTCCATGTCTGTACTTAAAATGACCCATGTTGGCCTTGTTTTTCAGTAGTTACAGTAGTTGTCGTTCAACAGGTCAAACACACATTTCAAATCATTTCAACATGTTCCACAACGATTTGACATCTTGTGACATTGTGAGCTTTCGATCTTCAAGTTGGAAAAAAAGAAGCGTTGCTGCGAGTACTGGAGTGAGTGCCAACCCCCTCTCAAACCTAAGGGGTGCCCATGTCCAGAGAGTACCCATGATACCAATTGCTTTGGATAGATTTTCCGTGCCAGCTTGCTGAGATTTTAGCTCAGCAACACACATGTACTGTAAGACAAACCAATAAAACAACCAAAGGGGCAAGGAAATGTTATCGTTTGTTTCCTAATCGTTTGTTACCAGCCCCAACCACACTGTTTCGGTCAAATGGGACCAATAAAAGATTGCTAATTTATGGCCCTCATTTGTAGTGGTGTATAGTGCTTGTTGGTGGCTGTTTACACTTCCGCGGTGAGAACGGAAGTAAGGCGCTGCAGCAGGGGAAGTTGCGGCTGCTTTTAATCGTACTAGGCTTTAGACAGAATCGAAAACTGGCAGCGGGTTGCTTGCAAAGAATGGTCAAACTCATTTCTGAGCTCCATAGTGCTCAGGAGCTAATACTTATCAACCACGGATCCGATATATTTTGAAAATCTGCTCAGCACCCTGACAGCTACTGAAGCCGCACCGGATGACGGTGGTTAGGAAATGCTACAGCACGAACTCTCGGGTTTTCTGGCATCCTCCTGGCACAAAGCGCTGAAGTATGGTCTAGTCTAGCCATGTCTAGCCTCTAAACAGCAATTCTTGAATGTTATGGCCAGTATGGTCAATGGATGTAAATGGTACAGTGTGCTGTGCGGCATATAGGTCCCCAAACACGGAACTATGAAGCCAACCGGTGGGGGGATTTTTGGGGGGGTTCGAGTTGGCACGGGAACATGGATCCTTCAACTATATTCAACTATGAAATATTGCATCCGTTGCAGGAATTTCTCACGGTCAATGATCACAACTTGGAAGGAATCCAAATCAGGGAAGGTTCAAATCCCAAAATGGAAATCTGGATTCCAGGTGTCAAATATTGTCATCAAATCCTTCAAATGAGATGGATACGGATATATGCGTCAAAATTCCAGAGCCAAGGGCCATAGTCAGTTTTGCAGTGAAACGATGCATGGTTATCATCCCATTTCGTGAGTTCCCAAATGATCCAAACGTTGACCTATCGCCCACACACAAAGTGCCACAAAGCTAACATAGAACCAAATGAGGCTTGGACAAATGATCCGTCTGATTCCTTCTCTTAAAATCTTGCACAAGATACTTTACTAGTTGGTGGTTTCAACCTCTTCTGAAAAATCTAATCAGTTGGGATTATTATTCCCACTATATGGAAAAAAAATGTTCCAAACCACGAACCAGTTTAAGTGTAGCCACCCAAGTTTCCCAGGAAAGGCCTTGTCATCTGGCTGCTCCAGGCTGTCCTGGCCCATGAGAAATGGTGGGCAAACGAGGCCCAAGATGTCGTTTTTCCAAGTGTGGGATAGATGCCTTTTTCTTTTAACATATTGGGGGCTGTATACACATGTATGTATATATATGTGTGTGTGTGCGTGATATATATATATATATATATATATCTCATATATGTGTATGTGTATGTGTATATGTATGGATGGATACGATATAGCTATACGACATACAAGTAGGGTGGGGAAATTCTTTCGAATAAAATGTCTGTCAGCCCAAATGCTGGGAAGGCAATAAAAATTGAAACTCCAAATGAGGTTTTGACCGCAAGCTTTCGATGATGTTCCTTTCCAACCCAGTCTGAAGCGGCAAATAATTATAAGCAGCACATTCTGGTGGATGATGAAGAATCCAATTCTAGTTGAGCGTAACAAACGAAATTCCCGTGCCAATCACTTCTGGCTCCGGTTGTATTTTCCGTCTGGCCGCACCGCAGATTTCTCCCAATTGTGCTTGGAATGTGGCATGCTGGGAGAACATTCCAAGCCCGGCTTGTAATGCTGAAGATGTCACTCATACATATACTTTGGTGTGTTCACTACTGCAAGTTCGACCCTGAAATTTCATGAAATTTCTGTGTTGAAGGCTGTGATCTTCCCTTCGAGTCTCTCTAAGCTCTAAGCTGATCCTGATCTCCTTCTAAGATCTACAATTACGACAAAGATCCTCTACATACTGTAGAGATTGTTTTTTTTCTCATATACATATATAAATCTACATCCACTATATATCATTGTATATCTATATAATCAATCTAGCCATACGGCTTTTTCATGCTTTTTCGGGGCCCCGCAAAGCCTGGAAATGAAACAAGTATCTTATCATGTCCAAGGCACATAGACTTGGATCGGGTCAAGGGTGCCTGCAACCATGGCATTTCGGTCCATTTTCGCGGTGGGATTTCACTGATTTAATGGTGGAAAATGATGGAACATCATTAGTGTATGAAACTTTTGGATACTTTTGGGTTTACTACTAATGATCATTTTAGCCAAATCCCCAATCATGGCTAGGTATTTTATTTCCCATTCACCATGGAAGAACTAGTTCATAACCATGTTCAATGGGATAAAAAATGGAACAATTATGAGAATCCATTGGATCGGTACTGGGGAATGATCCATTTTCAGACCCCATTCTGGTAAAAATCACCCGGTGAGAAACTGTCAGATGACAGGGTGTATCGCAAATAATTTTCAGCATACCAGAGATAAACATAAGACATACAGTAATTATGTATATAATATATATATATATACGTATATATGTGTGTGTGTGCGTATAGCTATAAATGCGTATAGCATGTATATGTGTGTGTTTGATCATGCATATATTATATACAGTATAATAATTACATATATATATATATATTCCATGTGTGTGTGTGCGTGCGTGTGTGAATATATAGTTATATATAATATAGTTGAAACATGTTGAAACCAGCGGCCTTTGCGGACAATCAATACCATACAACCATGAAGCTTTGAGATCGCCAAGAGGATATCTGCCATCCTGCATGGATCACCCTGGCCTGTCTCTCTTCCCTTCAAGAATTCGAAGTCTGAGTCCGATTGAGGACCAATTTCGGCTCGCAGATTAGCGAACATCTTCCTGGGGCCATGGGCTACCATGGACTACTATTGGGTCAAACATAGGACACCCAACCAGCGATCAATTTGCGTATTTTGAGTGGTAAATCAGTGGAAATAATGCATTTTGGGGACTTTTAGGGAATGAACAATTTGAGCCACACCCACATTTCAACTCAATCTCTCGGCAACTGAAGCCCCAAATTGCGAGTCTGAATTGATGTAGGCTCAACACTGTGGGAAACCCACCGTGCTTTGCGTCTCACTAGACCATAATTACAAGATACTGGTACCAATGCTCAAGGGGATCATTCCAAAATCCTGGGATGTTGCGTGAACTTTCCCAAAATGAACAGAATAACTTCGACCATATCTCATAGATTTCCATAGTTTGTCGACCCCGGATTGCCGCAGAAAAAACCACTTGATTTGCTGTTGTTTTTAAATGCGCATGAAAAACACACCTTTTTGTTACATGTAAAAAACAATCGGGGTTTTCAATGCATTTCACTCCTAATTCGGCTCCCGAATACTGTTTCATTGAGAGGGCGGAACCAACCCGTCGCCTCCATCCAAGGTAATCAGGACGAGCTGTGTACCTGGACAATTGGTTGATGCTATGTCCACCTGGTTTGGTGGGATTTTTTAGAGCTGAAACCAGCTGAAGCATGTACAAAACCATCGTTTTTTATAGGTTTTTATGTTTTATTACTAAATTTAGAGGTATCTTGTGATTTTCCATTCAACCAATGGCCATTTAGGGTATGATCCACTCCGTCATGGGATGATGGATCAACATTCCCCCCATGTTTTCTTGGTGAATCCTCCATGCGCAAAATGGTGGGAAAAGTGACCTATTCACCTTATTTTATGTACGGGTCAAAATGGGCCACCCAAAAATCTCAGTGAATACTGGAGAAAAAAAAAAACATCAAGTGAGTCACTTCAGGGTCTTTCAGGGTCTGAAACAGTTTTCACCTCACCAAACCAGGTTCCCGCACGCCAGTGCTCGTGCTTCCTTCAGGAACTTACCGAACTCTTGAGGATGACCTTCACCTGTCGGATCGCAACACCGGCACCTAGATGAACCATGGAGTTAGACGACTACTTCATGAGTGGATTATAAAGCAATTGTTTGACTTAATTTACTTAATTCAATGGGTTAGAATGGGTTATAACGTGTGATAACCCACAAAATTAAGGGAACATGTCATCTACCAGCAGCTTAATAATATTATACCACTCCAGTGCCCATCTTAGTATCTCGAACAACATTGACAAATAGCCTTCAATATATGAAGAAACAAAGGGAAAACACATATCATATCATAATGGCCAAATAAAAAATGAGACTGACCCAAAGAAAAGTTGGTTTATGTAATAATGATCAATGGATGGCAAAACCTGTAATTCCACAATCAATAGGAAAGTCTTCTTTAAGTTCTCAAAGGGCACTCTCTCTCTCTCTCATGAGACCTAGTCACGGATTTTCCAATTTTTCTGCTCCCGGCTCATTTTGGCTTCCCAAAAAGAAGAGCTGTAGAATCACGGTCTTGTTTGGTGATTGAATCGCATGTAACATGTCAATTTGTAGCAAACAGTTGGCCTATCCATATGTCATTAAGGTTGACCCAAACGGAATGATGGAGATACTGGAGGCTGCTGGAGTGTACCCTCAGAACGGCGGGCCGTTCTGAATTCTCGATTTCTTGGGGTCATTGTTGGTGAAAAAAGGCGGCCCATGACATTCCAAGCCCTATTTGAATCTGATTTCCAGGGGCTGGGGTTCCTTCCATCCTTTCCAGGGGCACCGGGTACCTTCATTTACAGAATCTATGAATCTGAATGGTCACCGGGCTTCACATCTGCTCAGCCCCTGACAAAGCTGATCAATGGGATAGGTCTCCTAGTTGCCACGTTGGCTCCGGAGCTGTGGGCATGAGCCTAGACCCAGAACATCCCTGAATACGTCAGGCTGTGTATATAAATTTAAATGTATATAACATGTGAATCTGTGTGTGTGAGTTTTCTGCGTGCATGTAAAAAGAAAAGGTGCACATATAATATATATATATACATACATATAATGTTTGCAGTGCATATCTGTGAGCTTCTACACATGTGTAAACATATGCATGAGACGTCAGTGAGAATTTTAGAACAAATGCCATAGACTTGGCTATTGGCCAACGTATACAAATGTTCATTCGGTTTTGTAGCTGGACAGCCGAGGATCCAGTTGCTTATTTTAGTAACATCTATATGATTTTTCATGTGCTGGATCTCCTCACTCTGTCATCTAGCCGCATAAATTAAAAATCATTTCGCAGGTGAAAGATAATTATAATATATATGTAAGATAATTATTATATATCATATCATATCATATCATATCATATCATATCTATCTATCTATCTATCGATCTATGCCTGGCCTATGCTCACTATTGATATTATGTCTCATCAATACTCCATCAACCCATCGCTCCATCAGCTCCATCAACCCGTCACAAATGATTCGTCCTTGCATTCTCTGATTTTGCGGTACTTTTCTTCCTGTGCCAGGGACATTGGATGGCATCTGAGAAATTGTCCGCAAGCAGCTGTTCCAGCATGACACAATGGCTACTATTTGGCAGCAAAAATGATGCATTTATATGAGGGTTTCCTAAAATAATGGTACCCCAAATCATCCAAAATTTGACCATTTTAGTATTGAAACCATGGGTTTTGGGCTTTTAGGAAACCTCCAAATGATATCAAATGTGTGTTTGTTCCGCATTTTTAGCTCTAGATCATCGTCAATTCCTCCATCTGCAGAATTGCACCGGAAAAAAACGAGCCCCGCCTGCGTTTTCGCTTCCAGGCCGGACCAGGGGAGCGAACCTCTCAGGAGGTAGAGCAGCATGTGTGCCACTGCCTGAAGGGAGCACGGCTATGAGCGATGAAAAATCAGGGCTTCAGCCACGAAAAAAAATGGGAACCCATGGCGTTGGACATATTGGACATATTGGACTGTCTGACTGTCAGCAGGTTAACCAATAAAATCCAGTAACAATGGTGAATCCCCCCAATGAACGCTTCACTTAGTGGTTGTTGGAACGGTTGTTGGAACCCAACAGTTTCCAAATGAAATGGACCCCACCCTTTTCTTGGTACGGTGAAATTACTGATGGCAAACTCAACGGCCTCTGGGGAATCTAGACCATACAGTGATTAGCAATGATTGACATCACTTGGAACAAGATATCTTCTATTCTATATCTATATCTACTGTATGTATTAACACGGGATCTTCCATTACCATGTTTGTTTCTCGAAGGGTATACTCCCCCGTTTTGCTAGGTTTTTCACGCCCCGCCAGATACCGCCAAAATGGCGCACCCAAGCACATGGTTTTCTTGGACTACTGGCCTAACCACATTATATCACAAAGTTGAGCTACTGGTATGTCATATATAAGCCCTTTCCATGCATTTGTGGGATACAGTACAGTACAGTATATGATTTCCACTATGAACCCGCAGTATGAGCAAAATGATGAGCAAAAAAATGTAAGAGTTGCGTGGGCCTATTGATACCCCACTGTGGGGGGCATATAGCTATAGCTATTGCCTCAGCCTCCCTGGGAACCTGCAAGTCGTCACGCCGGCTTTGCTCCATACCTGACACCCAAGGTGTAACGCCCTGCTGTTCAAAACAGGGTTCGATCAATGTATCGTGGATTGATTTAAGAGGAAAAAATATGAAAAAATGGTAATACATCATCGTCAGACAGTATAAACTCACCCGGCAACCAGCCGCCAATGGTTCCCAGCATTGCTCTGCGGGTGTTCAGTGTTTTAGCACACAGATTCAACTGATGTTGTCTCTTACAATATGCAGCCACACCGAAAAAGGATTAAAAAAGGCGGATGCACGTATACATCGAAAAAATTTAGCCTCCGGAAGGAATTAAAAAGATTTAAAAAGTATTATATATTTAAAATCTATTTTTGCGCTGGGAAAATCGCCCTCGAAAGAAGGACATCCATTGCCAGGCTAGGCTAATTGCAAGGTAAAGCGCTGTTTCCGGACCAAATTATGATTGATGGCTTCAACCCAATATTCGTCCTTGGGGATCATCATTTCACTGGAAAGTGAACGATATCCGCAAACCATCGCCAACCCTGCCGCAACCAGCATTCCTTTGCCATGCTCAACCAGCCAAGGGCCTTTATGCGCATTGATGGAGGCATAGCGTGCGGTTCCAGTCAGGGTCTGCAACGTCCTGCACATGGGTGAGATCAACCACGGGATCCCATGATCAGACCTGATCAGACCCCAACATCATCCGATCATCCAGTCATCCAACGTTTTTTTTGTGTTCACCACATGTTTTTGAGATATTTTGAGATATTTTGAGATATTTTGAGATATTTTTGAGATATTTTGAGATATTTTGAGATGGGCAATCACATCCCAAAGCCCAACTTTCTACCCATGGCCCCACCAACGGTTTTGCCTCATTGGGGCGTGCCGCTTGTCCCGCCAATACCTGCAGGCGATGTCATCCCCGGGTACCACCAATTGAACAAGTTGGAAAATGATCGTCCTACTCCAAAACTGCTACTTTTGATGGGGATTCCATGTAAGTTTGTCATAGTTTGTCGAAGGTATACCTCATTTTCAGATGCACCTAAGGTTCTCATATTGATTCATATTGTTGGTTAATTATACCATTCATATCCCGACTAGACATAATCATGACAATTAGATATCCCCGAACTAAATAAGCACTAAATGAAAGTTTATAGCTGGAAAAATCATCGAACTAAATCGGGAATCTTCCAGCAAGCCATGTTTGACTACCAGAGGGTATTGACATATATACTGCAGCCACATTGGACGTTGGATGGATAGCTGTTCATATCCCTATTGTACGAAACACATGGTTTATCAACATGTTATTGTATAAATACACACAGATAAATAAATAAATGAACAAATAAATAAATGAACAAATAAATAAATGAACAAATAAATAAATGAACAAATAAATATCTAAAAAATAAATAAATAAACATATATATGTATACATATATTATATATTACATTATATTATGTTTTACATACTATGGATAAAATATCTCCCATCTCTCTCTGTCGGGTTTTTCCCATCGTCACTCCCTTTTCGGCGCCTCCGGCCCAGGCCGAAGTCAATGACATAGACGATATGGATGCGCGGCCCCACCCCAAACCTCGGCGGTTTGCCCAATAGCCAGGGTCTCTTCGCAGTTTGTTTAAGTTGGATTGAAATATTGATTTAATGGGATTTAATGGGATTTAATGGGATTTAATGGGATTTAATGGGATTTAATGGGATTTAATGGGATTGATACCCTCTGGTTATGTCAAAATAGCTATTGAAAATGACCATAGAAATAGTGGATTTACCCACTAAAAATGGTGATTTTCTATAGTTATGTTAGTTTACCAGAGGGTATATTGAAATCCAATAGCCAACAAGTATGTTAGATATTGTTAGATTATGTTAGAAAGTGAAATCCAATAGCCTCCAATAGCCAAATAAAATAGTGGCACTGTCACAGTAGGAATTGGTCAACTTTCTTTTTGGGGATGACTGCCTGCCCTGTGCAGCGAAGCTGCAGGAAGTTCTCTGGCTTGATATCCTCAGTGCGGAACGGGTCGGCGGTGGGGAAAATTTGGACGAAAATTTGGCACATGGAAATCGATGATCAAAACCTGTTTCCCTTTAACAATTGGTTTATATTAACTGGTTTATATACTGGTTTATATTTACTGATTTTCCATTAATATCATTAATGTTCTCCATGATTAATCGATGATCGAATTGCCGCTAGGGGATCCAGCTCATGGCTGGGATGGCACTCTCAAATCCCATAGTTTTGATGATAGCCATGGGGGTTGATTATATAAACCCCATGGTAACAGGTCCTCATGTTCCTATATTAAATTGATTTAATATAAATGATTATAAATGTGGGTTCATTTCTGGTGAAGTCCCACGTTTCAAACACACCCAAAAAATCTGCAGCTCAGAAACCCGATGGATCAAACCCAAAGAATGAAGAAATTCCATCCGCCGGAGCACTTGGTCGGCAATCAGCACCTCAAATGGGATGTGGTGGACTTGGTTTTCCATTGTTTTCTCATGTTTTCTCCTAGCACAACACCGAGCAGTGTTGCAAACATATACCCTGTAAGGCCTATTGTTGAAATGTGTATGGATTGGTCTGGTGGCATCACCGTGACCTTTTTGGGAACTGGATAGCCCCAGTAGAAAAGTCCAACATGGCGCAGCTTTGATGGAGGCGACCTGGGAACTTAACATACTGTAGCCATGGAAATGAACTCTCCAGAACCATGCAGCTTCTAATACTGAATCCATTCAACATC